CCTCTAAAAAAGCAGGAATGACTCGCCCCAAAAAACACCAGGAGTAAGCCCCCTGAAAAGACTGGGAATAACCCCCCAAAAACCAGGAATGACCCCTAAAAAAACGGGAATAACCTCTAAAAATTTGGAATGACCCCCCAAAAACAGGAATGACCCCTTAAAAACAGGAATAACTCCCGAAAAAATGGGAATAACCCCCAAGAAAATAGGAATTACCCAAAAAAAACAGGGATAATTTCCCAAAAAATGGGAATATTCCCATTCCAAAAAATGGGAATAACCCCCAAAATAACAGGAATGATCCCCCAAAAATGAAAATAACACCCAAAAACCAGGGATAATCCCTAAAAAATCAGGAATAACCGCATGAAATGGGAATAAACCCCCCCCAAACAGGAATAACCCCCAAAAAACTGGAATGACCCCAAAAAAAAAATTCCCAAGAAAATAGGAACTGCCAAAAAAAGCCAGGAATAATTCCCAAAAAAATAGGAACAACACCCCAAAAAATGAGGAAGAGCGCCTTGGAAACCCTGGAATCTCCTTCTTTCTGAGATCACATAAATCCCATAAATCCTATAAATCCTACAACTCCCATAAATCAAATAAATCCCATAAATCCTATAAAACCCATAAATCCAATAAATCCCATAAATCAAATAAATCAAATAAATCCCATAAATCCTATAAATCCCATAAATCCAATAAATAAATCCCATAAATCCAATAAATCAAATAAATCCAATAAATCCCATAAATCAAACAAATCCTATAAATCCCGTAAATCCCAGCCCCCCATTCCCTCGGATCTGGCGGGAATGAAAATGATTGGACACCTCCGAATTTCCCGTTTTCCAATCGGGATTTATTGTACAAAACCCACGGGATTTGGGRTGAAAAACCAGGAAAATCCCCCAAAAAACAATCCCGGACGAGGAAAAACCGGGAATCRCTCGGGATTTGGGGGAACGGGAAAAACATCGGGAGAATCGCGGCTCCGGAATTCTGGGGAAACACCTGGAAAAGGGAGTTTGGGGATGGAATTTTGGGAATTTTTTTTTCACTGGGAAAAGTTCTGGGAATTCAGGGAATTCTGGGAATTCCGGGATCGAGGCTCCAGATTTTTCTGGAAGGAATTTCAGCGTCAGGAACCGGAAAAGAGGAAAAAGAGTTTGTCCACGATTCCCAAAAATCCCAGATTTCCCACGATCTGGAGGGGGAAAATCCCGGGAATTTTGGGATTTGTTTCTGTTTTGAGGGAAAATCCCATGGAAAGGAAAATCCCAAATATTGCACGGAGCAGGGAAAAAAGGGAAAAATCCCAAATTCCCGGAGGGATTGGGATCATCCCTGGATTGGGAAAAGGGCGGGGAATGTCTGGAGATGGAGGGAATCCCGCAAAAATTCCATAAATAGCAGGAAATATCCGTAAATATCCATGAAATCCCATAAATATTCATTAATGCCCATAAATTCCCATAAAATCCCATCAATATTCATTAAATCCCACATATATCCATAAAATCCCATAAATCCCATAAATCCCCATAAAATCCCATCAATATTCATTAAATTCCACAAATTTCCATAAAATCCCACAAAAATCCCATAAATATTAGTTAAGTTCCATAAATTCCCACAAATCCCATAAATCCCATAAATATCCATAAATACCCATAAAATGCCATAAATATCCATTAAATACCCATAAAATCACATAAATATCCATAAATACCCACAAAATCCCATAAACTCAAACAAAATCCCCTAAGTATCCATTAAATCCCATAAAATCCCATAAATTCCCATTAAATCCCATAAAATCCCATAAATACCCATTAAATCCCATAAATTCCCACAACATCCCATAAATATCTATAAAATTCCATAAATTCCCACAAAATTCCATGAATATCTGCTAAATTCCATAAATAACAATAAATACCCATAAAATCCCATAAATATCTATAAAATCCCATAAAATCCCATAAATTCCCACAAAACCCCATAAATCCCATAAATTCCCATAAATACCCGTAAAATCCCATAAATTCCCACAAAATCCCATAAATTTGCAAAAAATCCCATAAATACCCATAAAATCCCATATTCATTGAATCCCACAAAATCCCATAAATTCCCATAAATTCCCATTAAATCCCATAAATTCCCATTAAATCCCATAAACGTCCATAAATTATGTTCTTGAGCAGCGTCATGCAGGTCGCAAATGGTGGAAATTTGGGAATTTTTCCCAGGAATTTGGGAATTTTTCTGTGGGAATTCCATGGAAATTTGGTAATTTTTCCCAGGATTTGGGCATTTTCCCAGAATCTCCTATTTGATGCTCTTGAGCAGCGCCGTGAGGGTCAGGAACGGTGGAAATTCGGGAATTTTTCTGTGGGAATTCTGTGGAAATTTGGCAAATTTTCAGTTGGAATTCCATGGAAATGTGGGACTTTTTCCATGAAAATTTGGGATTTTTTCTGTGGGAATTCTGTAGAAATTAGGGAATTTGTCAGTTGGAATTCCATGGAAATTTGGGAGTTTTTCAGGAATTTTCCCAGAATCCCCAATTTGATGTTCTTGAGCAGCTCAGTGCAGGCTGGGAACGGTGGAAATTTGGGAATTTTTCTGGGAACTCGGGAATTTTTCCATGGGAATTCTGCAGAAATTTGGGACTTTTTCAATGGGAATTCTGAAGAAATTTGGGAATTTTTCCTGGGAATTTGGGAACTTCCACTATTTGATGTTCTTAGCATCACCGTGTGGGTCAGGAATGGTGGAAATCCGGGAATTTTTCTGTAGGAATTCTGCAGAAATTTGGGATTTTTTCCATGGGAATTCTGTGAAAATTTGGAAATTTTTCCATGGAAATTTGGGAATTTTTCTGTGGGAATTCTGCAGAAATTCGGCAAATTTTTGGTTGGAATTCCATAGGAATTTGGGAATTTTTCCAGGAATTTTCCCAATGATGTTCTTGAGCAGCGCCGTGCGGGTCGGGAATGGTGGGAATTTGGGAATTTGTCCATGGGAATTCTGCAGAAATTTGGGAATTTTTCCATGGGAATTCTGTGAAAATTTGGCAATTTTTTGAGTGGAATTCCATGGAAAGTCAGGAATTTTTCCCGGGAATTTGGGAATTTCCCCTCTTTGATGTTCTTAAGCAGCTCAGTGCATGTTGAGAACGGTGGAAATCCGGAAATTTTTCCGTGAGAATTCTGCAGAAATTTGGCAATTTTTCAGTTGGAATTCCATGGAAATTTGGGAATTTTTCCATGGGAATTCTGAAAAAAATGGGAATTTTTGGGTTGGAATTCCATGGAAATTTGGGAATTTTTTGGGAATTTTCCGGGAACTCCCTACTTGATGTTCTTCAGCAGCGCCGTGCGGGTCGGGAACAGTGGAAATCTGGGAATTGTTCTGTGGGAATTCTGCAGAAAATTGGGATTTTTTTCTGTGGGAATTCTGCGGAAATTTGGCGATTTTTCAGTTGGAATTCCATGGAAATCTGGGAATTTTTTGGGAATTCTCCCTATTCGATGTTCTTGAGCAGCGCTGGGCGGGTTGGGAACGGTGGAAATCCGGGAATTGTTCTGTGGGAATTCTGAAAAAATTTGGGATTTTTTCGGTGGGAATTCCGTGAAAATTTGGGAATTTTTTGGTTGGAATTCCATGGAAATTCAGGAATTTTTTCCCGGGAATTTGGGAATTCTCCCTATTTGATGTTCTTGAGCAGCGCCATGCGGTTGGGAACGGTGGAAATCCGGGAATTTTTCCATGGAAAAGCTGTGGAAATTTGGCGATTTTCCGGTAGGAATTCCATGGAAATCCGGGAATTTTTCCTGGGAATTCCGGAATTTTCCCAGAATCCCCTATTTGATGTTCTTGAGCAGCGCCGTGCGCGCGTTGACCACGGCCTTGAAGGCGTCCTCGCTGCCCGGGGCCAGGCACTTATCGGGGTGCAGCAGCACGGCCAACTTCCGGTACGCCCGCGTCACTTCCTCCCTGAAAAACCCCAAAAAACAGGAAAAATCCCACAATTCCTGACCCCAAACACAGCACGGCCAACTTCCGGAACGCCCGCGTCACCTCCTCCCTGAAAAACCCAAAAAACGGGAAAAATCCCACAATTCCTGACCCCAAACACTTCCGGTACGCCCACGTCACTTCCTCCCTGAAAACCCCAAAAACGGGAAAAAT